GCACGGTGAAAACGCCGGTATGTTCTCTGTGCCATGCCTTGGATTACCACAGAGTCATAAATATCTGCAACCCTGGCACAAGTGTACCCATTAACCCGTTGCTGATTGTCTTGAATGGGAGGCATCTAAAAATAAATGTGCATCACTTCATGTGGACTACAGGAGGTTGCCATGACAACCGGGCTTGTTTTTGTGTCACGGGAGGCCAGCTGAGTCTCTGCCAGCAAGGAGGGAGGAAGGGAGGGAGGGTGATGGGGGAGAAGGAAGAAGCAGAAGGAAAGTAAAGGAGGGATGGAGTGAGAGATGAAGAGAGAGATGGAATGGAAGACGACAGGAAGGAGAGATATGATGAAACAAAGAACAAGACGGGAGAGGAATAAAGAGAAAGCAAGATTTATGAAGGACCAAATGTTCACCAGGAATCTTATTATCTCTAGACTCATATATTTGAACCTTTATGCCTCTGCAGAAGGATTACTGAACACACACACAGTTTTGAACAACAACCACCTTTTCATTCATACGGTAACACACATCCCCACTCTGGCTGAGCCCAGTGTAACCAAACAATACAACCACATCTTTCCACTAACAGCTGGTATTCAGTGTTCACTGGCCACTGGCTGAAGCGCTGACCTTCTGGTAGCAAGCCACTTTTTCCAACCTTCAGGCAACCGCTACCCCATAAAAATCATCAGAATACCACAAAGACAAAGGTCTAAGGTGCTTCCAGGCATTTTCGATTATTCTTATGCTGGCCCAGTGTGCACATATATTATTTCTGTACTTTTCAAGGGTACTGCTGCAGAGAGGAGAGGCATCCCCCCTGATATCCTCCCTTCTGCTCATGCTGTCCTCTTTCCCTACTTCAGCGTTACCCACAGTATGCTAACATTAGTGACAGCCCATCTACAATCCCCCCCCCCACACACACACACATAGAGTCCCTAACCCCCTGCTGAGCTAAAACAGGAAAATCTAAAAATAGTAAACGCAGTGGGCTCACTCAAGGGAAAGCAAGGATGAGAGAATGAGGGGAAAAGCACCTGCAGTCAAAAATAGCAGAAGCTGTCCTTTCGATCAGGCTATTTATAGAGCACAACTGCAGCAAAATCTGCCACAATGTCATGAAAATTTTATTAGTGAAGCTGAGAAGGGGGTGTTTTTATGTTTAAATTGAACACAAAGGAGCCAGGAACAGACATGAAGCCTGTGCTGTGAGAAATGGCAAACCAAAGAACACCTCCAGCAGTGAGAAAATGTGTCACCTGGGCTTCCATAATGTTGGTGAATGTGGAGAGAGATACGGTAAAGATAGCTAGTGGAGTAAGGAGTTACATTTTAACCATTTACAGCAGCAGATCCTGTTCTACAAAGTCCCTTATATTAAGGTCATTTATGTGATTTCCATCACTACAGGTAATCAATATTAAGGATTCAAAGTCCCAATGCACTGAGGCACATGTTAAAGAACCATCCTCACTAGAATCATACCTGGGAAAATAATAAACAACTGGAACAAGTAGTAGAAAAACATACATAGATTTTGTTTTAAAAATGTTTTAAAATAAGCCATTAGGAGTTTCAGTGCAACCAGATGAAGATGATATGAGGGAGAGGGGGGATTTTTTTCAATAAGAAAGTTGAGGGCATGAAGGCAGATTTATTTTTAGAAAATCATTTAAGCTGACTCAGCACCACATAAGAAAATACATTCATTTTGATTTAGTTAAGTGAGAATACAAACGTCAATCTCGTGTGTGTACGGTAAATATGAAGCTACAGCCAGCAGCCGGTTAGCTTAGCTTAGCAAAAAGACTGGAAACAGTTAGTCTGGCTCCGTAAAAACTACCAGCACCTTTAAAGTTCACTATTTAACACGTTATATGTTGTTTAGTTTAGTTGGAGCATTCCCTGAAGAATAAAGGGCTGTTTGACAGGTAAACATTTACTACTCAAGGCCGAATTTCCAGCTTTACAAGCCTTACAAGCTAGTGAGTTTATCTCAACACGAGAAACATTTCGTGCAACCAGCCATGTTGTCATGTTAACTCAGAGGAGGAAAGTAATTTGTTCTCTGGAGGATGATCTTTGTGGGAACAGAAACACTAAAGAAAAGCATTTATTGTACCTAAATAGAAGCAAGACGACACAGATTTATTTGTCTTTCAACTTTTCCTATTCGGAAGATCAAAAACGGTTATCACTACAAGCACATGTGTAAATGTAATTTGATGAGACTATTTAGAATAATAGATGGTGGTAGTAGCCTGAGGTAAAATTCAAATAAAAGGACAGGGAGGCAAAAATGTTTGTCGTGCTTGGTTCAGCACTGTATTATCTGACTTACAAGGCTAATTAATGTCACCGTTGCATTTCCATCCCTCACAGTCCTACAATCTCCACTGTTAGGGGAAATTCAGGTGTTAATTGGATTGACGTGTTAAACCTTATTTCCTGGATATGACGCATCTCTTTAATACACAGAGGGACTGACATCTATGAATAGGTTTACAGCCATCAATAGAGTTTGGATGGGAACTCGCTTGTTTTGGGTCAGTCTCATCCCACGTATAAGCCCTCAGTAAATAGTTATAAAGCCAGAAATAGCCATGATTGGGCCTCCTCCTTCTCTCGCTCATATAAATAAATGCAAACGCATTTGTGCTCAGTGATCTGTTCAAGCACGTGCACATCCACACGCAGAGCTCACTCTCTCACATACACACTTACACATGCCTTATTTGTGTTTCTTCTACACACAAACAAATAAAGTCTGTCTATATGGCAACTCTGTCCAACATTTTCTCTCTGTCATGCACACACACACAAATTTCCCTATTCCTGCCCTTGTTTATCTGACATGCCACATCAGAGCACCCAGGCTCCATTTAGATTTCCATTTATAGTGTTGAAGATGAATTATTAAATACACCAAGAGATTTTTTTTAGCCTCTCTTTTCATAAAATTGAGGTGAAGAGAGGAATTACAATGACTCTAATCATAGCTGCAATTCCCTGCTATTAAAACAAAAGCCACGAGCAGCCTGCGCGAGATGGAAAACCAGGTAATGAATGCACGGAGGGAGGCGGACAATGGGCGAACCAAACGAGGGGTTTGTGAAATGGAAATTGGGAGACTGACGGACGCTTTTGAAAAGGCCGATCATCGGAGATGCACATTGGGTGCATATTTCTGTGCAGAAGCAGAGATGGCTGCTTTCAGTGTTAAAGTCTGATGCTGCACCTTTAAGTGTGTGTGAATGTTTATGGTAAGAGGGGTCACTGCAGCACTTGGCGGCATGACAACACACTTATTACAACCCTTTTCCACGCTTCACTCTCATCCGCGCTGCCCAACTTGGCTTTCTTCCTGCAAATGTCTTATTACACACTTGTTTTACGTGAACATAGCAGGTCATGCTGTATTGCACACCTTTTCTTTTAAGATCTTAGGGTGAGTTAGACAGCTTTTTGTAGTAAACATATGATCATTACATGCTTGGGTTCATTATTTTGATTAAAGCAGAGGATGGATGCAGGTTGACTCAGAAAACAGCTTTTTGCCTGACTTCTGTTACTTTAAATATGGCTGCTTGGTCTTTTATTGCACTTTCCTGGCTTAGTCAGTACTCTGCACATACTTAAAGTTTAATGATTAGCTCAGGTGCAAACACTCTGAATTTTGTACAAGTGTGCACTTGAGAGAATAATGACCTGCTGTTGGACTGTCAAATTTCACTGAAGCTGACCACTCAGCCTATGCCATTGTTATGGACTTGGCCTGACTAAAAAGCAATGCTATCATTACCGGATTTATCAAGAAACTGGTTCATACCATGTTGTGTAAGGCATCAACAAAACGTTTCAGCCAAACAAGAAGCACCCAAAGTCATCAAACAGAATATGAATTGTTGAGTGTGATAATCTTTATCATTAGAATTAAATAAACATAATGTAAATATATTAAATCTAACTGAAAGCCACTAAGTGCTTCATTTGGTGCTTTGACTGTGATTTTAATGGACCCTATATTGTCTAAATCCCCCTCGCTGACAAGCTGACTTCATCTCACACAAAAGTTGGACGAGCTTTAAAGCGATCATCACAGAGACAATAAGGGTGTGTGAATAGCGCCAGGAAATAATTTAAATGTGCTGAGTTAAACAGATGGCCTGTGCGTGTTTGCATATAAACAGGGTTTTGGATCATCGTGTACTGCCGAGCCAGAACAAACAGCAGGCGCCTCTCTCCAGTCTGCAGGTAAACATGCACACTTTACATCCTGACAACTAGAGCTGAGTCAGCCAGACATAGATTTCTAGGGACGTTGTGGCGATATTAGCATTCAGCCCTCAGTGCTTAAGGATAATACGCAGACACAGCAAAGAGTTTAATGCAGTGAAAAGACACTGACGTGCACAATTGCCCAATAATGGACAATAATGTCTCTCATGCTGTTAGCTTTCCCAAAGTCACAGGTGACTGAAGGAATCTTACTATCAGGGAAAAAGCTGAGGAACAGAAGATCACGTGTGTGTGTGTGTATATATAACTTATTTTTTAAAAACATATTTCTGCAAAAATATAGAAAAGTTTAGAACAGGTCTGCTCTGTATTGTATTGTTATCATGGTTTTTTATTCAAAAAGGAATAAGGACACGTTTCCAATTGAATCTTTATCAGAGCTCATCCTAAACAAACCTGAAAAGGGTGTACAGACTTTAAAGGTAATGTCTCAGCAGAACGTGATGATAAAAATCCACGGCCTGATTCCTTCACCATACAAAACTGAGAGACTTCGAAAGGTTTTAAATAAACCTGTGTGCATTGTAAGGTACACCATACTTTGTGGACACATCAAAAAATCTATGTTTGACTTCAGTCAGTGCAAGTCCTGTGTAAATTTAGCCCTATGTGAATATAAAATCAAATGAATTCTACATTCAGGTTTTAATAAACTGACTGACTTCAGAAAGCAGAGAAAGTATGGTACCAACCTTAAGAGGAGGGACAGGCAGAGGCTTATTGTCCTTGTCCAGGGAGATGAAAGTGAAGAAGGCTGAGACTGCACGATATTTCCCTTTCTCTGCGTCCACCAGCGAGGAAGCATCGACCAGCACTTCAATTTCCATAGACTTGTTACTCACAAATGTGAGGCGCCCCGTCACCGTCACCACACAGCCTTGGGGAAGAAGATTAAGAAAAGTATGTTTGGCGTTCATGCAGAACAGATTTTCAGTGTTTTGTAAATACACGTATGTATGTATGCTGCCATAAAATATATTTTAATTTCATTAAGCAAAGAAAAACATCTCAACTGTTCTATAAAATCTTTATGTTTGAGTCAAGCTACTGTGGACTGTAGCCATCAACAGAAAGTTTCATACGGGTTGTGAAAGAGTTTTCGACAACTTTAAATATTGCATTGCGACTGTCTCACACCGAAACAATTGATGTTTTGAATCACATGAAAACTTTAACAGAACACAATGATATTTACTTTAAATAATGAAAGTTAAAACCAAAGACTTTCATGTATAGTTACACTGAACACGAACTGAACACGGAATAAGCTGATAGTCAGCCGAGGAAAACTTCGGATCTGCTCTTACAATCTACTTCACATTGTTGCATCATAACTTTCGCGAGGTCTGTTCTGCTGAGAGCCAGCAGAGTGAGACGGGCCAATGATCTCTGGCTGGAAGAGAACTAAAGCCAATCAATCGCTCCTGCTGCGAGGTTCTCAGATTCATAAAAAGAAGGACATTTAAAAAGAACGTTTATTTTTGTGCTTAAAGTGTGACAGAAAGGTTTGGAAACGGGCAAAAATCAGGTTCAGTTAGAACCTTTTTAAATGTTTATAACTATATATTGAGGACTCATCATGTCCACCGCTGCAGAGTATTTGCTACCCTCTATGCCGCTTTTGATTTCAACCTGAGCCACACCAAATCCATCTAATGCATTTGACTCATCAAAAATGCGTGCTTTTCTCCTTTTGTCGCTGAAGGGAGGTGGGGGAAAAGTCAACTAATAGTACTGGGCATTGCTGATGTGTTTCTTTATTCTTTTTGATGTGCCTGTACTGTATTATTACAGATGTTGCCATAGAGACGAGGAGAGAAGGTGTTATCCCTGCAGCCTGAGACAGATCTCGAGTATGTGACTGAGATCTTATAAAACAGTCGAAGTCATAAATAATAAAAGAGCTAAAAAGGCTCTTATCATAGTATGAGCTGCAAATAGTTTCTATGAGAATTAGACTTGAAATTTCAGTGGAGTGTTATTCAGTGATCAGGCTTTTGTACTCGTGCAGGAAACTCAACTTAAACTTTGTCAATTAGGTATTAGGACTTAACAAAAACTTTGAATATGATTTTAAGAGATGTGTACAAGTTAACAAGACACATGTCAATATAATTAATTTGGTTAAACGATCTCAGTGTGTGGAGCATGCTGGATGAAATGTGGAGAACAATCTGTAAACTATTTTCATATTTTTGGGTTGTGTCCCAAGGCTATGATGTCTTTGTTTTCATACATAGTGTTTTGGAGATATCCCTGAGAATGAATGCTGCGGTACGGGGAGTAATCCCTGAAGACTGCACATCCATACTAATTCAATATTCTTTTGGTTACAGACTGGACATTGGCTCAGAGTGGGCCCACCTTCCATGGGAAAATGGACATCCAGATTAAATGAAGTGTATCAAAGGAAAAAACTGAAACTACGGACAGAAACATATGAAACAAAAATGGCACCCAGTCATTAGACATAAGGTCTCTCTAATCTGTATACTGTAATACATTTGTGTTGTTACCCTTGGCTACTGCTCTAATAATGAATGGAAAACAGGAAAAATGAGCCTGCTTTCTTTTTGACATAAAGGTGATAATGAAAATCCCACTGAGCGAAACACTGTGAAAAGATCATTACGTGTAATAATTGTGTAAGAAATCCGGGTGAGGTAGTGCGAAGTAACCATCTATTTGTCTCCATGCAGCTTGCTCACCCAGCACATACACTGAGTATTTACTCTCTTCCTTGTTGTCGACCCATTGAGTGTTTTTACATGTTACTGCCAGGAGCGAGTCCAGTCTCATCCAGGTATAGATGATCTCTGGCATAGATGTATTAGGGTACAGTGAAGCGTGCTCTGCTCAATGACATTACACAAAAAAATTAGCCTTGATGAGACCTTCATGATTAATAATTGATTTATGCAGAAAGTAGATCTTGGACTTGTGCAGCGCTGAAGGTCAGCCAACGAGTCCCATCTCTGAGGAGCTGTTTGATACAGCTAATCTGCTGTGAGGAGAGTCCATGCCAGGGCTTCATGTTGTATGCACTGAGCTGGGATTGTAATACCTTTGAGCCGTAGTTTTGCTATTTTAGCTACAGCCTGCGTGAACAGAGTTAAGATTTTTTCCATTTCTCTTTTCTATTCCTGGAAATAGCATTTTTTTTGCATTTTTTGCAGAGAAGGCTGTAAAAGAAGGGAGGCAATATGCAGGTGAAATAATAGCTCTCACTTCAGACAACTTCTACAGAAACACATTAGGTGGATCTGATTGTTTCTTTTGCTGCTGGGAATCAAAGTGTGTCATGTTCAGACAAACACAGTACTATACCTTTACTCCACGCCAAGGAAAGCTAAACCTAGGAGTCATCTAACACAAATTCTCCGACTTTATGCATTTCCAAGCCTTATTTTCATCTTAATTGGAATCTCTATTAGGATGGTAAGTACTACTGCTTGCTTTAGTTAGCATTGTTACCATAATGTACTTAATTTGCATTTGGTGGGTCAATGAGGGCTCTGCACGTGTTGCAATTTAAGGGTCTAACAAACAAACTGCATAAATACATTTAAATGGTCAAAACTCAATTTCTTTTCCATGTAAACAGCAACACATAATCCACAGACGCTTTTGGTTTTAGGTCAGACTTTCTATCTACTGTCTTTACTTGTTTGAGCAAACAACTCATGTCAAGTTTCTACAGATCGTGCTGGATCAATGAAATTACATTTAAAATCAATGAAAAAAACATTATTGTGAAGTATTCATTATGCAACACTGTTCACTTCATTTATTTATTTCACACTTTCTCTCTCACCTTCAGAACTCCCCTCTCTCTCTCTCTCTCTCTCTCTCTCTCTCTCTCTCTCTCTAGCTCAAATCTCCTTTCATCCAACATTCACCTTTTGAAGTTTTATGCCTTTATTCTCATCCTTTGTACCTCTGGGCATTTTGCTGTAATGGATAACGGAGAAGAGCAGTGACTGAACACTGCTGTGCTACATCAATGGCCAGCACCTCGCCGACTTATATTCTCAGTGCCAAATAATACACATTATTTGTTCAGTATGACATGGCAGTTACTTTACTTTTTGCAAAGTCTGTGGTTACGGGGGAAAAACAAAACAGTGTAGGCGAAGAACAAAAATAACACTAATAAACAGACTCACAAAGTGTGACAGGAGAACTGTCATTTTCTAATGTTTAAAAAGACTTAACATAGTGTAGCGTAGTGTTGATATTAAGGTTAATTAGACACACTTAATCGCAAAGGGGAATTAATCCACTAAACATAGTCAGTATGACATTGATGCTTTAGCTCTCACACACCCTGCGATCTTTTTTGCTGCACATGTATATAGTTTACATGAGGCACTGTAAAAAAATGTATTATAGAATATCTAAATAATGCATTAGGCTGCATTTAATTTCAAAACATGCTAAAGAAGTAGGTGTTCCAGACAAGATAATCTGCAAAAACAAAAGATACAATATGGGAAAACCCTGAATCAGAATTGTGTTTCTGCATATTGGACCACACCAAAGGTTTTCCACAACAACAGGTCTCTTCAAAACTTCAAGTGCTGATACAGTTAAATATTAGGCGATTATAGTAAATTAGGCGACAAATGAAGTGTGACACAGTCAATGGAAGGACAAAACCTTGAATTACAACACATTCATTAAATCATAGTTGCTTAATTAAATGCTAATTGTATTCTTTTTTGGTAATACTTTTTTAATTGCATACATTAATTACAAACTACTTTATAAATAGTTTTTAATTGAGTCAGTTAATCAATCAATTAATTAACCCCTTCCATAAGTATTACTGTTGGCACAACCATAGTGTGGTGCCTTACGCTAACCCTTTAATAACACTGCGTTCATCAATCTGCTCCATGATCATATGTTTGCTTGTTCAGTTCAGATGTTCGTTCCTGGATCAGTGAACTTTTGGATTTGTTCTGCTTTTTGTGATAATACGTGAAACCAAATTTTGGCACCATCTTTCTCTGCATTTCACTGAATCAAGGTTATAAAAAAATATTTATTGTATTTGTATTATCAAAACCTATACCTAATCTGTTCCAACAAATACATTTAATCAACAGGATCTCTATGTAGCTAGTTACATATGGGCTCTTTATTGGTCCCTGGCCATCCTATTTAAGACATTTTAAGGTGCTGTGTTCATTCTGAAAACCTGCTTTATCTGTAGTTCAAATTCAGATCCTGAGTGTTATTTCTCTCTGATTATATTATGGCATAGAAAACCTGCCCTGCTCTGCAGTGATTTTTCTGCTGCTGAACCCCACATTACTGAAAATCTGCACAATTAGATAAGTGGTCTGTCCAGGCTAGACACAGCAGGACCTCCGAAATTCATAAACAAATCATCTGAACATCCTCCACATGAACCATGTGCAGACACAGACCTCCGTCTGTTTAATGTCCTGGGCCTTAACTTCCCATCTCACTGTATTTAATGTTCATTTTGTCTGTGTGTCTCCTGGTGTGTGGTCCTCTAGCCTCACACAGGTTTGCATGGCATACGGGCTAGCCAAACATTCTCATACTCTTCGCTGTTTATGAAAAAGTATTCATGGACACTTAATGGAAAATTCCACCTTCTGATATTTTTCAGATCAGTAAGGCTTCATTTAGTTACTGTGGGCCCCACTTTTGGTTCAAATTAGCAGATAATCTAAGGTGTGCCCCAACTCTGACTGTCTGTAACAACAGGCTTAAAACCATATTAATCTCTCTTGCCTTCTAACATTATGTTAATCACCTGTATTTATATATTTATCTTTCCCATGATTGTCTCTTATTTTGTACATATATTTACATTTTATTTAAATTCTCTTTTATATGGACTCATTAAAAGTATTTCAAACACAGATAAAGGACTTTCATTGCCTAAACATAAACAATCTGCCCTTGCCTTTTGGTGATTTCCCATTTTTTCCAGAATGTGTTTCACCAGTCTATCTGGTCTCTGTGCTTGCAGCTGGCTGTTACATATCAACGGAGAAATAGTAATTATAATGGGTTTTGTGCTTTTTTGCCTCATGTTTAACTTCACAGGCTGATCCTACCTTCTAAACTGGAATTGGACCCCAACCAAACCATATAACCTCAGCTTATTTCTCAAATATCTAAATGGATGGATGATTTTCAAACTTTAGCTGATTGTGTGATTGTAACACAAAAAATGGGAAATCATAAACGTATAGGTCCATCAGCTTTAATTGTGAAGGACTAAAACACAACCAGGTCTGATGAAAATGTTTTACTTCAATCTCTATTGTTGCTGTGCTGGAAATATCTCAAAATGTCACTGAAAATAAAGGGGAAAAAACATGCCATAAAATGCAAAAATAGATCCAGAGGTGCTGCCTACAATGCCAGTAGCTGTTTTCGGGTGACTTTTTGTTTTGATCCTTGACCGTTATTTTCCTAAGCACACCTCTTGAGTATTTTGTCTGACGACCTTAAGCAAAATGGGAAATCTACTGGTGACATAACACCTAAGTCACTGTGGAAGCCAGGGGAAATCATGTCACCACTACCTAAAGTCAGAGGACAGATAGAGGCAGCAACCGGAGCAACTACAAGCAGCTGAAAGATGTGGACATGGATCTCAAACAGTCTGTACTGTTCAGTTTCTGGTCCAAAAAAAGGTTTTAAACGTCCCCTCTCTTTTACATCTGTCTCAGCCACTCACCCCTTACTGAAAAAAAATTGAATTGAGTGAATTATCCTGCTAAAAATACATTAACTGTAAATGCAGTAGACTTGCAGCTGACCTGGCACAGTTGTGCTGAGGTGTGAAGTATAAAAATGTCCTTACTGCTTCATAATTCAACAGTGGGGAGAGATGCAGAGACTGTAGCTAGTCCATTGTTAACATCGTATCCCGAGGTAATCATAACATCTGAATGTTAGCACTGGATGTCTGGATCACATCATCTTCAGCACATGAACAGATAACACAGACACTGAGACAAGAAAATGCAGTAACCTATAAATGTAATATACCAATCTACACCACTAAAGATACTGCTTTCGGTCATTTTTGACATATTAGATTCCATAAAAAGACTAATGAACTGAACTGTAGTAACAATGTTTTCAATATTAATTGACCACATAGTTTTTGGTCCACACTCTTTCTGTCAAAATATTGTTTGTCCTTTGAAATCAGTACTGTTAAGCAGTAAAATATTCAAAATAAAGTCTAACTCTAACACTTGTTCTGAATGATTCAGTTTGTCTGTGGATGTCTATCTATAGGAGAATATGATTGTTCCTTTTTGGATTCATCTGCATTATCTTTGCTCCTAACAAGCACTTTGGATTAACTGTGTTGTCCAAGCTGTTCTTTGCTGGTGGCAAAATGCAGTATAAATGATTTCTCACTTTAACAGTGAGGAAACAGCTCACACACAAAGCTCGGTAATGGAAAATAGTTCAATCATAACAATGGTGTGTTTTTCCAGATGTAGATGCATGCCCCACAAAACACAATTTGTCTTGATTAGCAACAGTGTGACAACTGTTAACGTTGGTTAGCCCAATTTAAAACAGCACTGTCTGAGGCTGAATTCATAGACTGCTGAGATTTTCCACATCATCATGTAATTGGGTGTTTAGAGAGTGCAGTTCATTAATGGGCAACAGGCAAAAGTGAAAGAGAAGCAGCATGAAAGGTCCTCCAGGCTATTACAACACTGCAGTACATGTTTTGGAGTATATCCTTAAACCTATGGACGTTTTTATGTGTCAGTGACTTACAGCTCCGAGTGTATTCGCTACGTCAGCCTCACCTTTCTTGATCTTGCGATGGAAGTTGATGGCATCCACAGAGGCAGTGACAATGTTGGTGTTGCAGTGCCGAGCAGCCACAATGCCGGCGACCTCATCCATCAGCTTCATGGTCACACCTGTTCCAGACACACACATGGACTTGTGTAAGATATACAGTTCAGTTTGATACAGTCGAATGCTCCAGAACAGGCCAGTAAGTGGCACTTGAGTTCAGACTGCTTTGTCAGCGTCCGTATTTTAAGGTCAAGGATGACGCTATGATTGTGTACAACTACTGATATTCGAACAGCAACTTATTGCATTCTGCATCTGTCAAACATCACATTTCTCTTCAAAATAAAACAAGCCTTTATGGGTGAATGTGGACACTCAGTTGGAGTGATTCTCTACTGTGTTTGAGACACTATTTCACTGAGGTTAGATTGTAAAAGCTAATGGGGTTCCTGACGCAATTATATAACTATCCACCTGAAGCTAAATTATGAATGAGTTTCCTTGCCATTTCCTCAGCATTAGTTTCTCATTTAGACTCATTAGTCCACTGTTGATAGTTTATCAGCTGACTGCCAGTAAGAAGTGTTTCAACAGATTTTCAGCTAACTGACTTCCAGCTGACAACATAAATACTCAAAACACTTTTGCAGAGTGGTCCGTTTATTTACTGTCCATTGAGACGGTCTTCAGCAGAACATCAACAGCATTAGTAATTGGTTTTATGGTTTAAAATGACCTCATTAGCATTTTCCTCTCGCAGTGATGTGAATAATGACTGTCCTCTCTCGGCAGCAAAGACTGAAGCAGTTGCTATACTTGCATAACAGGTCTAAGGAATCAATTTGTGTTTTTGTGCAGCTGAAGTCTGTGACTTTGAAACAAGAGACAGATGCTGGTTTCTTTTAAAAGAACATGTCAGCTTTTTTGGAAATACGGTTATTATTATTTGATTTCTTGCCAAAAGGTCCAGCGTGTAACATTTAGGAGCAGAAATGGAAAATAATATTCACAGGTCTGTTTTCATTAGTGTATAAACACCTGAAAATAAGAATTGTTTTGTCTTGATCTTTCCCTAAAGTAACCAAGTAGTTTGAGTTACCTAAACTTAACCAGAAATACTCATATGAGGTGTTTTTGGAACAGTCATATGGGCTATTTGTGGGAACTCTGTCCAAAGCTCAATATGCTCGAAACACTAACAGCTACTATTAGAGTTACAGTAGATGCTTGTGTTTGTTGTGTGTGACCAATATGTTTAGCCTAAAAAAAACATGTGCTTTTAAGCAGGCATATAGAGAGCAGAGCTAGGTCCTCAACAGATGAGGCCTGGAGCATGTGGTCTTCATCTGAAGGAGACTTGCTGATTGTTGAAATGTTAGCTGCTGCATGTTATTAAAAGCTACATTTATGGCAGATCTTATGGTTCGAGATGTCGTCGTTGTTTAATAATTTAAACTCTGCCATGAAAACTTAAAATGAATCCAAGCTGTTCTGTATGAGAGATAAAACTACAAACACTTCACAGCCACTTTTCAAACCAACAGCAGGTGAGTATTTTATACTAAAGAGACACATTTTGGGTGAACTATCTCTTTGAAGATGTGAGAGCACATCAAGTAACCCATTATCAAAAGGTTAACAGAACTCTTTGCCAATCCACGCTCTAAAAGTGTGCAAGTGATTTAAGGAGCAAGGAAACACTTCGAGCAGCAAATAAGGTTGCAGATTACAGTGAGGCTTGAAACCCATTATTTATAAAGCTGCAGAGCTCACAAAGTAGACACAGAGAAATTTACAAATCTACACCTGCATTTGTCTGCCTGTGCCACACATGGTACGACCTTTGCAGCTTGTGTCTTGTGTCCCACAAACAGTTGTTTGTGGGATTCTCACAGAAAGTGGGACATCTTGTATGGAGTGGGTGGGTTGGAGATGAGAGAAACGAGGAAGAGGGTGGCATCTGTTTCTCATCTCGAATGAGAATGTGTGTGCAAGTGCAACGTGCGTGAGTTTGTGAACATAATCTCATTCCCAAATATTCAAACCTTCACTAGACACTCCAGTTGCCCCAATCGTTCCCTCTGAGTTGCGTTTTGTATCCCTAATGCTACAGAAAATCAATAAGTCTGCTTGCTGATGGCTGGTTCGGCTCCCAAAAGCTCCTACCATCTGCACTGTGTGCCTCTATTTATGACAGCCAAATGTGTGGGAGTACGAACAGAATGTGCTGCTTGCTCCCAAATGCAGCATTCAATGTAAAAGTTGGCCTGTTGAGTTTATTAAGAATTAAAAATGCCATTACTTTGACATCCTCTTAGCTCAAATGGCCAGAGATTTTCTATTTGCTGATAACACCGATATGTACAAAAGGTTTCGACTGGAAAGTAAACATATTTTTCTGTCCAAGCTAAACCTTTATCAGAGGTTAAAGAGAAATGCACTTAAATTTCCAACAGGATTTCAAAATAGAAAATGGCTTGATGCTAGAGAAATTGAATTGAGCTCTTACTTTGATGTGTGATTATGTGGTTAAACTCAGGCCAGGCAGTGTGAAAGTGACAGATCTTTTGCTCCATCACATAAAAGGCTCCATCACCTTTAACTCGAACCAAAACCCTTTAGATTGGGGAAGTATATCCATTAAAAACGCTCTCTGATTAAGGCGGATGATGTGACCAGTGTTCAGTAAGGTGACAACAGCATGTCAGGCTTAAAGTGTGTGTGGGCAAGGAAATATATCACTTCCTTCTTTAATCCTGTTGTGAGGCATTTTCCAAAACCCATCTTGTTTTTTCCCCCATACACGTTATGTTGTGAAAATTGATGGGATCTCACCTAAGATTGAAAATTTCCCCTGGGTACAAGGCACAGCAGGCTGCTGCTATTCAAAGCCAGAAGTGGTCGTGTCTGAGCATGCAACACTTAATGGAGATGGATCATGACCTGACAAGATGATGAAATTGAACACAAACGTTGAATTACGCTAAACTGAATCTAAACATTTCGATTAAATTTAAAGACACACTACCTGTATTTGTTCCAGTGGTCCCCACCTGACATTTCCTTACAGCTCTGCACTGATCATTTTAAACTGATCTGTAAACTATGTTGACTTTAAGAACATTGACACTAAACTGAGAGGAAATGCTGAGCGTATGAAATTTGGGATGGGAGCTAATGGATGCTAGAACAAACAAACACACCTTTAAGCCGCTATAATCAATATTTTTTGTCTGTGATGACCCACAGACAATTATGAACCAACTCTGCAGTTCCTCTCAGCTCTATGGACCATTACAGCAACTTTAAGCTTATTATTTTGGTTTTCAGGCCCTCAACTTTCATCATCAGCATTGTTTTGAGCCACAGCCACAGCAGGCCGCAGTTTTTAAAGAAAAAGCTCTAAGAACCCACTACCTGCACAGAAAAAACAACAAACAGACACATTTAGCCACTAGCTGGTGGACATTCTGCAGCATTTAACAGCCATATATATCCCTCAGGAGTTGGTGGAGACCAAAACAGAGCTAAAAGAGAGTGAATATTGATCGCTAATGTTTCTCCATATTTGTTGAATCTGCAACGTTCTCCATGTCAACTTAAAAGGTGATAATATCATGTCAGTGTCAATGTTTATTTGCATGCTTATGCCACCTTGTGGGGTGGTTGTGGAAAATTAATAAAAAGTTGGTCACCAAAAAAAAGTTTTAAGAGGACCATTAATCTTGTCTAGAACATGGAAAGGTACATTAATATGTGCAGTGTTACAGGTTATCCCTTTCTTTAATTAATTCCACAAGTAAATGTTGACTGAGGCACCTTACCTTGCACCCCATAATAATAGGCCTAGTTCCCTATTGCTATTATTATTTTATTGCACTGCCTCCTCCTCATGGGACCAACATGGTCAAGTACCTTCCCTGAACTCTGGAAGCTGTCCCAACTCTGTTACTTTCTTCTGCCTCAAACTGTGGGAAGCTTTGCTCCCAGGAACCAACAAACCGTGAACATTATACCAAATCACCAATGAGTTTTAAGCAAGGTTTGCTGCAGTATGCATATTTATTTTAGCATTTTAGAAAAATATCATAAAAAGGTACATTCAGAGCTTCTTAAGTCTAAAAAAAAAGCTGAATTGGAATATCTTTCTAGTCTTTAAAAAAAGTATTAAAAGTAGCATTCAATGAGGTAATCTAACTGAGCCAATAAACAATATATTGCTGTTGCCCTTTCTACACAAATATTGTTTTCTGTCTTTATCTCATAGCAGTGCTCTGAAGTTATTAATTCATGGATAAGGTGACCATGCCTTTTTGAGATTTCAACTCATTTGATCTTCCAATTACAAATATTACATGATATGAATTAGATTACATGTTTATTATGTTTCTCTGTAATGTCATGATGGCTATTATCAGAATTAGGGTAAATAAATAAATAAAAAGCATAAGGGAACAGAGAGAGACAGCCCTGCTCAGCATGCTATGGTACGAAGTGAATGCAAATGTGCTAAATGACTAGACTGGAACAGTCAGAAATGACATGACATGAACTTTGTAACTTTGTAAGAAAATAATAAATAGAAATGTACTGAGGACTTGGTTATTTGTGTTTTGGACAGTGTATTTCAGAGACTGAGTGGAGCAGTGAGAGTGGGCTCCCGTGGTCTTGTTCTCTGGCTCCCTCGTGTAAGCAGCTCTCCAAGATGCCTTGAGAAAATGAGGCTGGTGGGTGTGTGTGTGTGTGTGTGGGGGGGGGGTAATTACCCCAGTTTGCTCATGTTCCTTACTTTACCACACTGCCTTAGAGACTTCCCACGGCCCAAGAATAGCTTTGAGTAGTAAAGCAAGCTGCAAGTCTGAGCGTTTGAAAATACTGCTGTTTAGAGCTAGACAATTATGCACAGTAACTGATTAAGGTCTTCATTTCAAAATTGTTCATATTTCTGTTGCTTATTTTTCCTCACCAAACACTTGTCACATTGTGGGAGAAAGCTTCAGCAATTCCTTAAAATGGCTCATTAGCATTCCCCAGCAGTAGCAGCAGCAGCAGCAAAGCAACTGTAGATGTAAATACAGATGTCTCTTTATTTCAGAGAGGAACATCAGCATTTCATTAAGCT